TTTTGGATCTAGGGTTTGTGTCTAGATTTATTAGCATGCAGATGTTCACTTGTTACAGTACCACTTGTTGACAGGCTTATTTTTGCTCCATTGAATTATTTTGCTCCCTTATCAAAGTTCAGTTGGTAATATTTGGAATACAGACCAGTAATGTTCTTAATATGTATTAGTTGTGTTTCATTACACATGTTCTATTATAGAGCAAAATTTTAATTTACAAAAATCTCAAAATGTGGTAATCTATTTAAATACATACATATTTTTTGAGAGGCCACACCTGGCAGTGCCCAGGGCTTAACACTTGACTCTGATTTCAGGGATCACTCCTGATAGGACTCAGGGGACCATTTGGGGTGCTGGGGATTGAACTCAGATCAGCAGTGTGAGAGGCAAACACTGGACCTGTGTACTGTCTCTCTAACCCCCTTAAAAGGATTTTTAATAATACCTGTTACAAAGCACATTTTCAGTTTCTAATTTTTTTAGTTGCTCAAAGCAAAGGTTCCTGTAATAAGGATGTTTGACTTAGAGGAAAACAGTCATTTTCAAACAGGCCTTTGTAGTTAAGTACTTAAAAATATGTGAACAGGCTTTAACATGGGCTGAATTACCTTGGGCAATTCCCCCCTCCCCCCTTCCAGAACTATTCAGGAGGTCTGGAGGTAATCTTTAGTTACTGTGCTTCAAAGAGAAAACCTTTCCCATGACTTCTGTTCTTAACTACGTTGTCCAATTTACTTCTAGACTTGTCAGTTGGCAAAAGAATACAAGAAAGGGAATTAAGAGTTCACGGTACATTTCAGCCTAGTTTCAGTAGTAGGGTAATTTTACTAGTTACTTGAATTTTTAGTTCCGTGTAGGTTTGAGAGTAATACTATTTCCAGAAAATCATTTAGGTGGGATCAGATTATTACCAGAGCTTGGCTGGTGGTGTAGAAACTAGAATCCTCTTGAATTGAATTCAGAGGGAAATTGCCTTCTCTCCTGACAGTCTCTCTTTTAACGAAAAACTCTATTGTAGGGATCAGCATGTATATAATTTTGTCTTTTAAATTGTACTGCTAATAATAAAGGTCTTGGCGTGTATTCTTAAATTTATTCCATACATTTCTTGTGTTTTAATGCTCTAAATGGTGTTTAAAATTTTTAACTGGAATTCAATTTGTTCATTGGTAGTTTAGAAATAAATTAGTTATTTTCATTTGATATTGTAGTTTTAAAACTCACTAGTTCTGATAGCTTTTATATTTTGTGTACATAGGCTCTTTCTCCTTCCTTTCTCCTCCTTCCCTCCCACCCTCCTTCCCTCCCGCCCTCCCTTCCTCCCTCCTTCCCTTTCTTCCTTTCTTCTATCCTTCTTTCCTTTCTTCCTCTTTGGGTCACATGATGCTCAGTATTTACTCCTGGCTCTGCACTCAGGAATTAACTCTGACGGTGCTCGGGGAACCATATGGGATGGCGGGGATTGAACCTGGGTTGGCTGTCTGCAAGACAAAAACCGTACAGTGTATATTGCTCCAGACCCCTGTATATGGGATTTTTTACAGTTAGATTGCTATTTCAAAAAGTAGTTTTATTCCTTTTCTACCTTGAGAATTGTGTTATTTCCTATTTTGCAGTGAGCATTTTCAATAGAAAATGTGACAGTGTACATCTTTGTTTTGTTCCTGATATTATTATGGGCATCTTTCACTACATAAAAATTATATTAACAGTAGGGTTTTCCTTTGTCTTTCATCAGAGTGAAGTCATTCTTTGATGAAGTGTTGCTTTTTTTAGTTGGTTTTAGGGTCCCACCTGGTGGTGCTCAGGGCTTACTCCTGGCTCTGTGCTCAGGGAATCACTCCTGGTGGTGCTCAGTGGACTGTATGTGGTGATGGGCATGGAGCTCAAGTGGGCTGCGTGCAAGGCAAGCACCCTGTCTCCTGTGCAGTTTCCTTGGCTCCTGATGAGAGTTTTTACCTCCCTCCATTCCCCTACTCCCCTTTTTTTTATTTTGGTCGGGCACGGCTCATCTGGTGGTGCTCAGGGCAGTAAAAAGTGACAAGTGACTAATGCACACTACAATATGAAGGAGTTTTGAAAATATACCGAACAAAATAATCGACACAAATGAGTTACATGAATCTATAAGAGATCAGATTTAGTACTGAGCTACATAAAAAGGGGGTTTGGGGGCTGTAAAGATAACAGTGGGTAGGGACATTCCCTTGCACATGACCAACTTGGGTTGGATCCCTGGCATCCCATATGGTTCCCTGACTGGGAGTAATACCAGAGCATCAAGCCAGGAGTAAGCCTTGCGCACCACTAGCTATGGCCATCAAACCCAAACCAAAAGGCATGGATGGGTGTTTGAAACCCAAAGAAGTAAATATCAGGCAATAGGTCTAAGGAAATTTTTCGGAGTGTTGAAAATACTTCTTAATTGTGACAGTACTATGGTGTGTTTTCTAAATTTATTAATTGGTTACCTTTACATTGTTTGATTATATGTAAAATTATTTTTAAAAAAAGTTTCTCTTTGGAGGCCACAGAGATAATACAGCAAGTGAGGTGCTTGCATTGCATGTAGCTTGATCTTAGGCACCAAGCCTGCCAAGAGTGATCCCTGAGTTTAGAGAAGCAAATCCTAAGCACTGCTGAGTCCCATATAAAATAAAATAGTTTTTCTTTCTTTGTGTAATAATTTGGGGGAGGGGCCAGCCCTGGGATGGGAATTGAACCAATGCCTCACAAATGCAAGGCGAATATGCCATGACTGAGCTACATCTTTGGCTTCCAGTAGTTTCTTTTATATTAGTTAACAGCTCTAGCAGCACTTCAGAATCATCTGTTGAATGTTGACAGTATATATTCTTTTACCCCACATCATGCCCAAGGAATCAATCTGCTGTGCTATATGTGCTACTCATTTGATATTTTAAATTTCCTAAGTGATTTTCATTCCCAGCAGGACTGCAGGAACATGTTTTTTCTTTGCATGACTCTCAGGAAGTAATAAAGTAAAATTTAGTTGTAAAGGCATTATTTTTTTTGTTATTTACGATTCAAATTTCATTTATGGTTTTAAAAAGAAATTATAAGCTCACCACTGAAAGTCCTGGTGAGCTTTATTAGAATATACACATGCTGATTTACAGTGGTGGATCAGGAAAACTTATGCCATATTATTAAACAATGTACTTCAGTAAACAACAAAATGAAATACTACAGGAAAAATGCCCTCTGAATCTGTTTTAAAGGTTTACTATTTTTAATAGCACTTACTTAGATTGTTATAATACAAAATACATGGGAAGAAGAAACATTCCCATTATATCACACTGTTTTAAGTCTATGAAATGAGGAGTTGAAATGTCCTGTCTAGTTATTCAATCTCATACTCCTCTACTTTGATGTCCTTTCTCCTTGATATTTTTCTAGCCTTATAGGAAGGCTAGAACTTATTAATAATTTATTAGTAATAAATTATTAATGCATATTATATGTATATGTAGAACCATTTATGTCAGCTAGTGGATTATATTGGATGCCTGTTTTCTGACAGCCTTTGTATAATATTCTAGGGATAGTAATTAGCCAAATGAACACCTGTCCTTCTGAGACTTGCTTTCTTGTGGAAGAATAAATATTGGCCAAATAGTAAGACAAATGATATTTTTCCAAATTGTAGTATGTTACAGATACTTACGGAATACCATGATATCATGTGGTAAATATTGAAACTGCCAACCCTTTCTTTCAGGTCAGGTCATCTTTGAAAAGTTTGCTTTTCCAGAAGCATTTAGTACTGCTGAGATAGTATGATAATTAGTCAATTGAATAAAATATCTAGCATATGAACCTTCTCTTATTAAAATAGTGTTTCTCCTCTGTAAGCATTTTTACTTATTTTTGCATTCCGAGCAGAGCTCTGGGGCCTGGGAGCCAGTTTCGACTGTACTTGGCCAACTGGGCCAAATGGTTCAATTGTTAGGTCCAGCTTCTTGGTCCTTCTTAGGTACTTCTTGGGTCCTGTGTGACTGTAGGCCACTAGGCCATACCCAGTGGGATTCCAGGGACTTGTGAGCATGTTGTATTACTTTAAAAAATAGAATAGTCAGCTTAAGTATAAAAAATAGAAAAAAATAGCAAATATTTATAAGCATCTCAATCTGTAATTGCCTCACAGTGCTGTAAAACAGCTTTTTTATGTATGTGTATGGACGGGGATGGGGGAGCCTAGAGAGATAGTACATCGGGTAGCGTGCTTGCTTTGCATGTGACTAACCTGGATTTGATTTTAGCATTGCATATGGTTCCCTGCCAGGAGTGATCCCTGAGCACATAGCCAGGAATAAGCTCTGAGCACTGTGAGGGCAGCCCAAGAACCAAACAAAAAAAGTCAAAACTTTTTGTGAGGTTGTGGTTATATGCTATCCACTTTTGTGCTTGTGAGACCCTGGTTTTCATCCTTGGCACAAAGAAAAACAATTTGTTACTAAAAGTAGAACTTTTGAAAGTTTTTCTACTAACATAATTTTAGTGGTGATGAAAAAGTTTTAAGCATTTTATCTTAAGAGAAGTTGTGTGATGAAGACTATGCTCATATAAGTTTAGGAAATGCAGAATGAAGTAACGGTAAACATTTTTAACTCTAGGGTGTTTCAGATCCTTTAATGTGTTATATTCCAAATTTAAGTCCACGATAACTCTCTATTTAATCATGGATCCCTTTCCCCTTGCTTTGTGTTGTGATAAATAGAAACCAGGGAGAGAAATAAATCTTCAGTAGCATTTAAAAAATAATCATAGTATAGTTTAAAATGCATAAAAGTTTAAACATAAAATATATATTATTGAAGTTGACAAAAATTTGTTTATAAAATAGACCTGTATTTCACGTTTATGTATTGAAATACTGGGAATGGTTTATACATAATTAAAGAATCAGTTCTCCATTCTTGCCTCCTTAACTGGAAAAGGGAAAATTAAATTTATGTTTTTTAATATTTCAGAACAAAGTAGAAGAGATGACTTAGAAGCTTTAGGTCATATGTTCATGTATTTTCTGAGAGGCAGTCTTCCTTGGCAAGGTTTAAAGGTAATTTATTTTTTAATATTAAATGTCATATTAATATTTTATGATTTTTGGATCTTTCAAGTATTATAAAATTGCCACCTTCTGAAGATTTTTTTTTTCTTTAGGCTGACACATTAAAAGAGAGATATCAGAAGATTGGAGATACAAAACGAGCCACACCAATAGAAGTGTTATGTGAAAACTTTCCAGGTGAGGAATGGGCTTCTATATGGAAAACCAGAACTTAGATTTTCATTCTTTAAGTTTGCATTTTTTCGTGCTTAAAAATATAAGAGCTCAGAATATTTAATAGCTGTAAGGGATTGTGGGATGGCTCAGGTGTTAGTGGGGGCTTTGTCTTGTACGTGCTAAACCCCAGGTTCACTCTGAGAACCTATGGTATTATAATAATATCAGCAGATGTGCAGGCATGGTCCCCTTGATCATGTTGCTCTGGAGGCGAAAGGACTTGCAGTCCTGGGTCACAGGAATTGTTATAATTGTAGACTATCGTTGATGGATTACCACGCTGGGGGCACTGCATAGATTGTGTCTGTGAAATACACTTGCAGTCTTTCAGAGAAGAAGAATTTTTGCTTGTCTAGGAGCTGTGGCAAGGACCTTGCACACTTCAAGGTATGCATGGAGTTGCTTCAGGGGATAGAGGCTGCAGGATCCATTCTTTCAGCTTTCCACTCTGCTCATCATCATTTTCCATAAAGGCGTTTATATCCTCGTCTGGTATCCTGATGCCATGGAGAAGCCTCTGTGTTGCTTGCTCTGTTAGAGTGTAGGTCTTATGCTTGCAACCCCAGGGGACTGTAACCAAAAGAGAAAGAGCTCTTAAATAATTACATCCCTCAGGTCATAGCAAGAGGCATAGACCCTGAAACTGCATCTTTCTGTAGAAGAGGCCTGTTGGTATACTATAGCCAAACAGGCAGGCTTCTAATTAAGCACACTTCTAAGGGCTGACTATAAACCTTTCTGGGAGACTTCTGGCAGCTGCTCTTTGCTTGTCTTCCTCTTTTTTGCTCTAGAACACCAGCATCTCCCTGACAGAAGGAAATCTTTAAAAAGTATCTGATGTCCTAGTTTTTGTATCTGTTGTCCTGATTTTCCTGTCAGTTGTTCACAGTGTACCCCTTGATCACCTGGATGTGGAGGCCAGGGGAAATAGTGATCCTGGGTCCCTCTGGATTGTAACCATCCCAAAGAGTTCTTGGCAGTCTGCCACCTCCAGGGCACTGCATAGACTGTACACTGAAACCATATCTGGTCTCTTTGTCAAAGAAGCCTCTTTGCTTATGGTTGAGCTTTGGCCCAAGGAGGACCTTCCGGTTTGGCATACTCCTGGAAGCTGACAGTGGGATCTCAGGGAATGGAGAACAATGGTGGTGGTAGAAGGGGGAAGAGGAGTGCACACCACCTTTGCACTCTAAGACTTGTTGCAGGTCACCTGTGTCTCCCAGGAAGGAACTGTTAGAGTCATCAGGACTTGGGTTTTTGTGACTGCTACAGAGGGATGAGCGGAACGATAGCACAGCAGGTAGGGCATTTGCTTTGCACACGGCCAACCTGGGTTCAATTCCTCCATCTCTCTTGAAGAGCCCGGCAAGCTACCGAGAGTATCCCACCCACATGGCAGAGCCTGGCAAGTTCCCTGTTGCGTATTCGATATTCCAAAAACAGTAACTAGTCTCACAATGGAGGTTTTACTAGTGCCCGCTTGAGCAAATTCATGAACAACGGAGGACAGTGCTACAGGACAGTGCTACAGTGCTACAGAGGGATATTGTCATATCACCTGCCTCTTGTAGGCCTTTCGTTCATATAGCTGCTGCAGGTTTTAAAATCTATAAATGTATATGACCTGGTGGAACGACAAGAACCAGATACTCCGAAGGTATCATTAACAGTAATTGTATACCTTGGTGCCGCAATGAAGTGGGGGTGGGGATCTCTTAAAAAATATAATTAAGAAAAAAAGGTACTCTCTGAATGTTTTGTTTCCAATTAACCCGAATCTAGGTGCTCACAGAGATCCCCTCCTTTGGAATACTGATAGTCTTTGTATATCCTCAATCTCTAGAGTTATTAAAATTTAAACAGAACTCTTGGTCTATCACAAAGATTTAAGAAACAACCAACACAAATAGACTTGAATACTAACAGGCTGGAGTGATAGCACAGCGGGTAGGGCGTTCGCCTTACACGCGGCCAACATGGCCGACCCGAGTTCGATTCCTCCGCCCCTCTCGGAGAGCCCGGCAAGCTACCGAGAGTATTCGATATGCCAGACACAATAACAACAAAGTCTCCAATGGAGACGTTACTGGGCCCGCTCGAGCAAATCGACGATCAACGGGAGGGCCTTTACCTTTTTACCTTTAAAATGGCTGATAAACGTTGTTAGTCAGAGAATTATAAATAGTTGTGTAGACCTTTAATGAGAAGGACATATTTTTCTAGTCTGTAATTCAAATTTAATTCCTGGTTTCTCCTAAATTTTTTAGATTCCATTTATTTTCAAATTAATATTATTTCTCTACTCAATTTTAAGACAACATAACTGTAATAGGAAATCTAAGAGAGATCCTGGTAAACTTGTGTCTGTCCAATAATTTTGCTTCAGAAATAAACTGTAATTTTGTTTTATAACAGAAATAAACGAAATTTTCAAGATCTGGATCTACCCATTAGTGATACACATTTTATCCCTTAGTGTTTTCCTTCTGCCAAGCCTCAGGAAAGCGTTATCATGACCAATGTCACCATGTTGGCAACTGAATTCATCCTCCAGGGATTTTCAGACATCTGGGAACATCAAATTCTCCATGCTGTATTGTTCATACTTATCTACCTGATAGCTCTAGTTGGCAACCTTCTCATTGTTCTTCTTACCACCTTAGACCAGCATCTTCATAGTCCTATGCGTTTTTTTCTGAGGACACTATCATTTTTAGATGTGTGCTTCATTTCTGTCACAGTTCCCAAGGCCATTACTCAGTCTTTGACACAAAATAGCTCCATATCATTCCTGGGATGTATAGCACAAGTTTTCCTGGTTGTTTTGTTTGCTTGCACAGAGTTGGCATTGCTCACCGTGATGTCCTATGACAGATATGCAGCTATTTGCCAGCCCCTCCATTACCAGCTCATCATGAGGAAAGGGGCCTGTGAGCAAATGGTAGCTGCTTCCTGGCTTAGTGGGATTGTTTCTGGGTTTCTGAATACTACCGCTACCTTCTCATTATCGTTCTGTGGGTCAAATTTTGTCCACCAGTTCTTCTAATGAGATCCCCTCATTACTCAAACTCGCCTGCTCAGAGAAGTTCCTTGCTGAGTTTGCAGCCATCATTATCACAACATCCTTAGGTATTATGTGTTTCATTTGCATCCTGGTTTCTTACATTCATATATTCTCCGCTGTCCTGAGGATTCCATCAGTCGAAGGCAGGTCAAAAGCCTTCTCAACATGCATTCCTCATCTTCTAGTTGTGACTATTTTCCTCAATACAGGGTCCATTGCCTATCTAAAGCCAGTGCCAAAGTCCCCTTCTATTTGGAGTTTGATGGTATCTGTCTTCTATACTGTAGTTCCACCAACTCTGAATCCCATCATCTATAGCCTGAAGAACAAAGACATGAAGTCTGCCTTTTGGAGAATGTTGAGAAAAACTGCTTTTATATTCAGTAACAAAATAACAATAGTAAAGATAGCACCAAAAGTTTGATCTTTTAAGACTAATAGAAGACAACTTCAGAGATCAGCAAAAAGCTTCTTGCTATTAAATAAGAGAAAAAATTATGATTTTATTCACACTTGGAGATAATTTTTCCATATCATTTCAAAATAAATTTAAGTCATCATAAGTACACACAAACATATATAGAGAATATATATAGAATATATTCTATTCTATGTAAAAAGAATATATGTGTGTTATATTCTTTTTTATATATAATAGAATATTAACATGCATTCTATTGTATACAATAGAATATTATTATATTCTTTATATATATACACTAGAACTTCCTTGAAGCAAACTTTTTAAAAAAACATAAAAATACAAAGCACAGATTTACTATGTAGGTAAATTTCTTTAATTTGAATTTTTCACTCAGCCTATTCATCAAAGTGCTATTATATATCCACGTTCTAGGGACTCTATGATTCATATCAACATATTCTAGATTTTGTTGTTTAAATTATAAATAATATCATCTTATAAATACAGTTATATCATCTTATAAATACAATTAAATATAAGCTAAGTTAATGTCTCTTAGACAAAAATAAATAAAGCTGATTAATACCTAATGATTTTAATTTTATTTAATGCCCTGCTTGGTTTTCATAATTGTACTGATTTTTATTCTGAAAAGTAATGGTGGAAATTATATTTACTATGTAAACTCAAATATTTCATATACTCAAAATATTTAGAAAGATTTTAATTTATTGGTTAAAATACTATCATATTAATTTTAATGTACTTAATTTAATGTCTATCTGTATTTCTTATCTATTTGTATAGAATTATATCATTGTATCCCTCTGTTTTATTGTTTTTGTTTTGGGACATACCTGGCAGTACTCAGAGGTTATTCCGGGCTGAACACTCAGGAATTAGTTCTAGCAGTGCTGTGGAGATCATATGAAATGCCAAACCCAGACTGCATACACAACAAATACCCTACCCATTGTACATCTCTCTGTCCCCTTAAATTAAAAAAAATTGTTTCTGTTGATTAGGATGACTATGATTTTTCAATACTGTCAAAGATAATTTCTCATGCACAGCGGGTAGGGCGTTTGCCTTACAAGCGGCCAACATGGCCGACCCGAGTTCGATTCCTCCGCCCCTCTCGGAGAGCCCTGCAAGCTACCGAGAGTATTCGATATGTCAGACACAGTAACAACAAAGTCTCCAATGGAGACGTTACTGGGCCCGCTCGAGCAAATCGACGATCAACGGGAGGGCCTTTACCTTTACCTTTTACCTTACTACATCAAGATTGCAAAGTTGTTTTATCTAATGCAGAGAAACCATTACAATCAAGCAAAATCCATTTAAAGAAAGGGAGGAATGTGACTCAAAAGAACAAGATTATTAAAACTCGGGGAAAATTAATGAATGGAGATGGGTAATTTACATGGTGTAGAGTTCAGAATAATGGTGATAAAAGTGCTTACTGAAGATAGGAGAATGGATAAGCTCAGTGAGAATTTCAACTCTTGTGTTTTCAGAGAAAATACAAGAACATGTAAAATAGAAGTCACCAAGACTGAAGAATATTAACAACCGAATTAACAAATACACTAGAGGTGTTAAGCAGCAGATTAAATGACACAGAAGAATCTGTGAACTTGAATTCATAGCTGTGAAACTTAGTTAAACCCGTGCAGTTTGTAGGCAGATAGACATAATATTCTTAAGAAGCCTATCCGAATTTCTGTGATAAAAGTGGAGATTCCAATGATAAAATGTGGTATTTTAGGAGAGTTACACACAAATAAGGTCCACAGTACTGGTTTTGTTGCCTTTGACTTTGTGTGATCCTCTTCTTACTGACTATGATAAAGGAATTTGATCGAAAAGCCACTAGGCGTAACATCTCTTTCTGTTAGCACATAAGTAGATTTATTCTTGTCCCTTTGCCATTCTCCATCCAGTTTACCATTAATAGTCTGAAGTATTCAGCTTGAATCCTGTAACCTGTGTCCCCTGCTGGGGCTTAATGCTCTATAAGCTGTTATTGGGTCTTGGTAGGACTGTACCTCAGAGACTCCTTGGCCCCTTGGCATTCTTCAGATGCATTGCTGTGGGTGACAACCTCTACTCCTGCTTTCCATTTGGGCATATGTGAGAAGAAAAAAGAAAGGAATGTAACTGATTTTAAACAAAATCCAGCAAGCTAGCACAAGCGTACTCATATAAATAAATTTCTGTTAGTATTTTACATGACTCTTACAGTTCATGAACTGAATGTGTTTGATTATCTATTAAATTCTTACTCAAACTCGGGTTGGAGCAATAGCACAGCGGTAGGGCATTTGCCTTGCGTGCAGCCAGCTTGGCCGAGCTGGGTTCGATTCCTCCGCCTCTCTCGGAGAGCCCGGCAAGCTACCGAGAGTATTTCGCTGGCACAGCAAAGCCTGGCAAGCAACCCGTGACGTAGTCAATATGCCAAACATGGTAACAACAAGTCTCAAAATGAAGACGTTACTGGTCCTGCTGGAGCAAATCGATGAACAACGGGAGGACAGTACTACGGTGCTACTCAAACTAATACTACTCCAAGTTTTATTTAAGATAGTAATGTGAAGATTCTGGAGATATATAGGGCTTTGATCCCCGGTACCGTGTGGGCCTTTTAGGATTGCCAGGTGTAACCCTGGAAACCCAAACCCTAGTGGTCCTGTGTGATTCTCCGGGCTAGATCTATTATAGAGTTGCTGACCCAGTTGGCTGAGACTTGCTCAGCATGCCTACCAGTATGCCTGCACCCTGCTTGGTAGCCCAGAAACAAAAAGTTAAATAAAAACTTATAGTCTTTCTGAATGAAATGAAATGAAAACAGTGTTTATTTAAATTATACATCATTTGCCTTTTGTTCTTATTTCCTTTTCTAATTTTCTTTGTGATTCTTTTATCTCATTGTAATTTATAAAATTTTAAATTGCAATAGAATTGCTACTTCATTTTCACTTACGGGATTTTAGGTAATTAAATTTAGTATTGAATGTATGAGAAATTATGATCCGAATAATTTTTATTTCCTTTCTAGAAGAAATGGCAACGTATCTTCGTTATGTAAGAAGGCTAGATTTCTTTGAGAAACCAGACTACGACTACTTACGAAAGCTTTTTACTGACTTATTTGATCGGAAAGGATATATGTTTGATTATGAGTATGACTGGATTGGTAAACAGTTGGTAAGTACTATATGCTATAAAGGAAAAGATTTTAAAGCTGAGAAACAAATTTGGCCTGAAAGCCAGTACTTTTTTAAGTGTTAATTTTATATGCTTTAAAAAAAATACTTCAGATAGAAGAATACCAAGCCTTTTCTTCGAATTTGGAAAACACCTACATTTAGATATTATCCTATTTATTCAATTTTAATTTTTTAGAGTTGCCAGTTATTGAATCTAATGGCTTCACACGTGCAAAGGCACATGCTCTGCATCTGAGCTATTCCCAGCTTACATTTTGCTTTTTAGAATGATTTATTTTCAACTTTTCATTGTTAGTTGAGTTAGTTATGTATAGTTCTGTTCAATGTGTGAGTGATTATGAGTTAATTTTACTTTTATTATTACATCAACTATATTTCAAAATACTTAAAGTAAATTGTTTTATTTACTTATTTTTGTTTATCTGGGGGGTTTTTTGACCACATTTCTGGCAGTGCTCAGGGGTTACTCCTGGCATGCTTGGGGAACTGTATGGTATGCTAGAGATTGAACCTTGGTTGACCATGTGCCAGGAAAGCACTCTACCCACTGTACTATTTCTTCAGCCCTTAAAAATTATGCTTTAATCTAGCATTTTAGGTTATTATTTTTTTTTAAATAAATTGGACCATGCTTATGGTTTTCAAATGGCATGTAAGTCTTTGTAACTAAAAAGAAATCTTGATTATAATTGTGGACTGGGTGCTCATCACTTAAAACATTAAAAATCATTCAAACATTATGATATCAAATGAATATTTTACCAGTTGTCCTTGTTTTCACAATTAGGAGATTTATTTCATTTTTTTTTTTTTTGGAAACTGCCAAGCTTTCAGATTCAGATATTTGTGACTGTTAAGCATTTAATTTTTTTAAATTGAATCACTGTGAGATACATAGTTACAAAACTGTTCATGGTTGGGTTTCATTCATACAATGTTCTAATACTGATACCTCTACCAGTGTACATTTTATGCCACCAGTGTCCCCCGTTTCCCTCCCAGCCTCCTCCCACCTCAGCGTAGCTCTATGGCAGGCACTTTTCTTCTTTCTCTTTCTCTGTCTCTTTGGGCATTATGGTTTGCAATACAGTTACTGAGAGGTTATCAAAATTAGCATTTTTTTTTAACTCCACTGTCACACTGTGTGGTATTTGTGATTTAAGTCTGAGTACAATTTCATTATTTATACTAAGTTTTAAATTACTTTTAAAAAGAATTAAAGAACAGTAATTTACAAAGTTACATAGTTGAGTGTTAGGCATACAATGTTTCAACACCAATACCACTATCAGTGTCAACTTCCCTCCACTAGTGCTCCCATACTTCATCCCCGCCTATAGCCCCCACCCTATTCCCACCTGTCAGCTTGACAGACATGTTACAAAATTCTAGTGGTTGTAGCTTAGATCTCATATTTTCAGTGGTTTTGGGTATATACTAAAATTTTTTTTAAATGTATAAGCATTTGAGTAAAGTATTAGCAGTGAACTTTTAAAAGCTTATTTTAAAATTACTCTTATTTTTTTGTTATGTTTAATATAATTTAAATTTTCTTTTTTCTGATTTTAAAAGTAAAAGCAAGTTTGATTTAGAAATTTTGAGGAAGGGGAGGGAGAGAGAGAGAAAGAGTAGCGTGCTCAAGAGAGAACCCAGGCTTCTCCAAAGCAAAGAGAACCCAGTACACGTGCCTGTCTTAAAGTATGAAAGTACCCACCTCAAGAGGGGACATGGCGGCAGACGTGTGCTCAGGCATCATAGCTAGACAAAATATGCGCTAGAATTTAAATTTTCTATTTAACATTTTATCCTATTCATGTGTTATTCTTGGAGAAGAAGAGAGATAAATTCATTAGTAATAGTTACTTGATAAAGTAAACTGATAATAAATTACTATGTTGAAATGTTTTATGTTGCTATAAGCAATAAACAAACACTGTACTCCCATTGTTCATCGATTTACTCGAGTGGGCCCAGTTACGTCTCCATTTTGAGACTTGTTACTGTGTTTGGCATATCTAATATGTCACTGGTAGCTTGCCAGGCTTTGGCGTGCAGACGAAATACTCTCGGTAGCTTGTCAGGCTCTCCGAGAGGGGCGGAAGAATCGAACCCAGCTTGGCTGGGCTGGCTGCGCGCAAGGCAAATGCCCTACCACTGTGCTATAAAATATTTAAATATGTTTAAAACATTCTCATTTTCTAAGTTCAGTGTATTGTGAGATGTCTTTCATAAGACATTATCTGTCACTGTCGCTGTCCTCCCTTTGTTCATCTATTTGCTTGAGCAGGCCCAGTAACATTGTGAGACTTGTTACTGTGTTTGGCATATCGAATACGTCACGGATAGCTTGCCAGGCTTTGCATTGTGGGCGAGATCCAGGCTTTGGCGTGTGGGCGAGATACTCTTGGTAGCTTGCTGGACTCTCTGAGAGGGGCAGAGGAATCAAACTCAGGTCTGCCGTGTTGGCCACGTGCAAGGCAAACGCACTACTTAGGGTGCTTAGGGCTTACACCTGACTCTTTGCTCAGGAATCACTCCTGGTGGGGCTCAAGGGCCATATGTGGTGCCAGGGAATTGAACCTGGGTCAGCTGCATGCAAGGCAATCTCCCTACCCACACTACTATTGTACTGGCTCAGCCTTGATACTTTTTAAAAGTAAAATGACTTTAGATTAAATTTCCGAAGCACAATGTATTGATGCTAAATGTTGTTGTCTTGTAGCCGACTCCAGTGGGTGCAGTTCAGCAAGATCCTGCTCTGTCATCTAACAGAGAAGCTCACCAACACAGAGATAAGATGCAACAATCCAAAAACCAGGTTTGCTGCCCTTTAAGATATGAAAAGTCTTACTATGGTTCAGTATTACTTTCTGATGGCTTATTAATTTATTTGGTGTTTTATCATGCCCAGATAATAGCTTTTTAGAGGTGTGCATATCTGTGGATCTGGTGTGCATGTGGACATATGCACACATTGAAGATACTGAAAGAGACACTTTCATTTACTATATACAACTATATGCATACACCTGTCAAAGATTAAAAATTAATATTTTTTAAAAATTGTGTCCCCCAAATATTCATTAGTTTAATAATACTAAAGCATTTAATGATAAATTTTTAATTAATGGCTTAGTATAAACTTTGAGCAGTGCTGTTAGAATGGAAATATTTGTATACCCTGTTGGTATGAATTGTGATGGCAGTTTGTCATTCTAACTATAGTTTAGTTTATTGTATTACTTGCTTGGTTTCTACAAATTGAAAACTGCTGTTCTGTGACCAAGGATATAGGTAAGTGGTACAGCACTTGCCTTGCAGGTGTGAGGCCCTGTGTTTAATTCCCAATACCTCAGAAAAAAGAAAAGAAAATTCATGTTCTGCATGTTGTTGAACTGCAGAAGAAAGTAGTATGTTCTGTAGAAAATGATTTTGTAATGAGAGACAGAAAGCTTACTCAGTTTCTGGAATCATATATACCTTGATGTGACTGGATTCTGGGCAGTTTAGTCAACTATTTGAAGCCTAAGTTTTTTCATCTGTGAATTATAAATAACTTGTATTATAACTCTAGCATATAGAGTTATCAACACTGATACACTGTTATTATGATTACTGCAGTGATATTATTCGTAAGTATATTACAAAGCAGAATAAGCTCAGTTGCATGCAATATAGTCAATCTGTGGAGGATCATTGGAATATGTGGAGATTAATAAATATTTTATGAAGAAAGGTAGCTTTGGGGATTAGCAGAAGAATGAATGGAATTTTTAAAGGCAGGTGAAGGAATATGGGCACTTGTTGGGACATTGAACAGTAAACAGTACAAAGCAGGAATTTGAAAATGTAGGATTATTTTGCATTTAAATTTGCTTGAAACAATTGGAACAGTATATTCAAGATAAGGAATACAAGATCAGTGAGTGGGGAGAATTTCCTGGATAAGGTTATTAATGGAAAGTGATTGAAATTTCTGAGCAATGCTTTCATTTCTTTGTTAAAAGAAAATCTTTATTAGAACTTCCTCTGACAAAAATGTTTGCAGTCACCTTGAATTTAGTGTATTCAGAATTTTTAATATAATCATGTTTGTTGAGGGATATCATCTTATATAATTATAATCTATCATCTCATAGAATTTTATATCGTTTACTCCATCAGAGTTCAATTAAGTGTTAAACTCAAAGGAAGGAATGTCATTTATTAAGAGCCAGTAGAAAAATCTGTATCAGGGGATATTTAACAAACTAGGCTTTAAAATACAGCCAGTTTTTTAAAAAATATAGTTTAAGATTTTTACCTTAAAAAAACTAGAACAGAAAAGTATCTTATGTATAAATTACTTTAAATATAAATTACAACTACTTGATAGCTTTAGTATTTTGATAAGATGCTGTATATGGAGGAAGACATGAATCATAAATTAAGGTGCTATATAAGATGCTGTATATAGGAAGATCTGGATCATAAGTCAAGATTGGGAGTTTGTATTTTATAAACAATTCAGAGTTAATTTCTCAAATGTACTTGAAAAGATAGTCAATAATTTATGCAACGTTCTGAATCTTCAGAGCTGAAGCACACAGCTGTTAGAGATGTTAGATATTTAATAAGAGAAACTCTTTTGTTGAATTAAATTATATTTAAAATATTTTTGAGTTTGCCTTTCTGGATGTTTCTGACATACCTAGTTAAGTTGTGTTTGACCAGTGGCAGGAACCCTGTTGCAATGACTGTGGGTAGTTAACCTTTTCCCCCCATGATATCATTTTGGTTAGTTGATTTATTGAATATGAAACCTGGATATTCAGACTGTCACAATGAGGGAACAGCTGTATATCTAGAAAAAAAAATCTTAAATATCTGTGAAACATTGAACAGTTTAAATTGTATGAAAAACCCATAGTTCACAATCCTAAAGGGACTGGCCAGTTTTTCAAATGATGGTAACTTTGTTTCCAGATATGCAGTTTGTAACAGAATCTGTGGTTCAAAGTGATCCTAAAATTTCATTAATGTGTTGAGTGCATATAAATGCTTTCTGAGGCAAGGGTTTAGAACTTTATTCTTAGAGGTCCATGAGTTCCTACATGTTGCCTTTTCTCTAGATATTTGTCCCAGTTTTAGTATCACTTTCATTCTATCATATGTTTATATTTGATTTGATTTGTTTTATTTTGTTACAAATATACTAAATGCTGGTTATAAATTTGGAAGGTTTGATGATAAAATATTACAGAAGTATGATAATAATTTTGATGACATATTTTATACCAGAGAAGCCTAGTTCTGGAACATTCATTCTTTGTGTCTGCCTGAATTTGAAATTTCTTCTCCTGAATTGTTGCTCTAGCCATTGATACTCTCAGAACCCCTTATAACCTAGAGTACTTCAGATTTCATGGCAAGAGTTTTCTTAAAATGGTTGAAAAAGAAAGAAAAAAAAATACTAAAGATTTTTTAAACGAAAATAATTGTGGTAAGGAGCAAGGTAGTATTGTTGGAAGAAGGTTAGGCTAAGAGTTGGAATCAGCTCTGCTACTTTCATGCCTAGGAAAATGCTGAATGTTTTATTGTCTTCATCAGTAAAGTATGGATACCTTCTATTATCAGTCATAAAACAGAGCAGATAATGCTGAACCAGACATGGAATAGAAACTTAATATATTCTTCTCCCGTCTCTTTATTAGTTTAACCTATGTTTTCCTGAAATAGAAAGTGACCCTTTTAAAGCACCTACTACTTCTGCTAGGGTTTTTTTTTTTTTATTATTATTTTGTGGTTATTGCCTTGCAGATTTGCTAAGGCATCAAAAAGCATCAAAGCATCGAGTTGTAGAATTGAGTTCTTTAATTTGTAGTAGATGTAAAATGATAAATTAAGTGGAGGGATTAATATGTTTAGGGATGTCATTTTTAAAAGTTTGTTTTGTCATGTCCTCATTGTATTCTGTGACATTTCTCTCTTGTTTCAAAGAGTACTTCTTTTTTTCCTCATATTTATAGGCAAAAATAAAAAGGTTTTCTAGGACTCTTAAGTACAGCTACTTAAGAACTGTCTCCTATTTATTTTCAACCTTGCTAAAAAGTAATACCTCCTCATAAAACCAGTGGAGACCTTTACTGTGATAAATTATAGTGGATGGCTTTTTAATACATTCATGATTTATTGTAGTGCTTTCTCAGGCACTTTATTTTTGCCTCCCTAGTTTTTTATTAACTTTATTTATAAAGGTAGAGGATAGGTTGTTAACTTTATAAAGTTAGAGGATGGAGTCTAGGTCCATTCAGTTTAAAAATTCAATGGTTCTACTTTCATATTTTATCATTTGACTATTTTAGCAACTTAACTAAAATCTCTCCATATTCAGTGTGCAAAGATCACTGCAGTCTCAGAATAGTAAGGATATTTAAAATTTCCTTTTATACATTTGTTTTCTATATTATAAGGATGAGATGTTTAACATATTGGGTCTTTCTTCTTCCATGCATGCCACATGCATTAAATAAATGGCAGTCGGCAGACCACAGGGCAGCTTGGGACTCCCAGCAGGCAAATCCCCACCATTTGAGAGCTCACCTTGCAGCAGACAGACATGGTGGCTCGGTACAGGTATTTTCTGATTTTTGCATGAGTGATTATTTCCCAAATTTATACAACTAACCCTTTTTTGGAACTCATGGCATGATTCATATCCTAATGAAAAACTTGTTGCTGAACTCTCCATAATTCTATTCCTTTGTATTTAACTAAAAAGCAAAATTAACATGGTCTAGAAAGACCAACTAGGATACTAGAGTTTGCCTTTGATCATTTTTGCATTTATATGCAGTAATATTTAAGAAAATCATATAGAGGATTGGAAAAACTTAACTGAAATAAGTGTTAATCTTAATTTTTCAATATAATTTTTAATGATATAATAAAACAATTTTATATCTTTTCTATTGATATTTCTCGGGTCGGCCATGTTGGCCGCTTGTAAGGCGAACGCCCTACCGCTGTGCTATCACTAACAACAAAGTCTCCAATGGAGACGTTACTGGGCCCGCTCGAGCAAATCGATGATTAACGGGAGGGCCTTTACCTTACCTTTACCTATTGATATTTGACTCCTTCAAACATAAGTCAATTAAGTAGATATCTAACTTTTTCCCTTACTAGTCAGACTGTACTCCCTCTTTAGTTTGTTCAGTAAACATGACCCTAAATTTTGTTATGGTATATTTTGATTGTACTCATAGAAAATATCAGATGGAGAAAATAATTTTAAGTAAAAAGACTCTTAAGTGTTTTAGTTTTCTGAATATTTGTAAAATTTTAAAGCAATTTCATATATTTGATGTGTTCCTTTCCCCTTTCCCTGCATATACTTAGAAATAGCTACTATAGTCTGCCCTCACATATGCCTTGGTTTTTATTCTCTTATGTGTGAAGCAAGCAAGGTTATTAGGCCTGATAACTTCTATAATCTTTGAACTTTTTATATAATGCCTAAAGTTATCTAGATGGTTGTTTAAAGTAACTGAGGTGATGATGTTATCTCAGTCCATTTCAGTTTAGAGCCTTGATTTTGGGGAAGGGGAACACAACCAAGTGTGTGCAGGAGTGAAGTGCTGGGGGTTGGTATGTGGTACTGGGCATTGAACGTGATTGGCTGTGTGCAAGGAAAGCACCTTACTTGCACTAATTTGTTTTTGATTTCTCTCGAACCTTGATTTAAATAATATTTTTTTCCTCAAATTTTTACCTGAACTGTTTATTTTTTTCAAATTTGTATTTTTCTTAAATACCTCTGTATATGCATAATCTACTAAGTCTATTTTTCCCATATTTTCTGTTTTTGTTTGAATTCTAAAAAATAAATTTGTGACCAGAGCTTGTAACTGCTCATTTTTCTCACGATTTAATCTTATAGATAATTTAAATTACTGTCCTCCTGTTGTTCATTGATTTTGCTCGAGCAGGCCCAGTAACGTCTCCATTGTGAGACTTGTTACTGTGTTTCGCTTATCGAATACGTCACCGGTAGCTTGCCAGGCTTTGCTGTGTGGACGAGATACTCTCGGTAGCTTGCCAGGCTCTCCGAGAGGGGCAGAGGAATCGAACCCGGCTCAGCCGGGTCGGCTGCATGCAAGGCAAACGCCCTACCCACTGCGCTATTGCTCCAGATCTAATAAATTTGTAATTTAAATTACATAACCAAATATTTTTATAGAACTTTGTAGTTTTTAGTAATGTTTAACACAGGTGTTTGACTACCTCTATAAAAATCTAGAATGAGAAACTCAAAAGCAAGGGTGCCTAAATTGTAGAATTATTTTAATGATGCCAGTTCATATTAATAGAAATGTTTATTGAGCAGTTTATATTTAATTTTTATAATACTGAATTATATATACCTCTGTGTATGATTACATGTTTATAAATCCTGTATGATATTTTCACAAGTATTTTGTTTAGTGCTCAGGGAAATCTTCAATAATTAAGGTACTATTGGAAGTGTTTCCAATCACTTCTGTTCCAGTATCAGAAATATGTTTTCTTAGCTGCTTTTCACTGTGTGGAATTTCCAAAGGAGACTAATGGGATTTCTGTGCTCTATCAAAGGGTGGATGAGTTTGTTTAGTGGCTCATTTATTCAGTACTTATGTTCAGTTATTTTCACAGATTTTCAAGGATATTTCAAATTTCCTCATTTGTTACCATCTTTCAGACTTGACTGTCTCAAAAAATTACCTACATCTGTCTTAATTTTGAACTCAATGAGTATCAATTTTAATTAGTAGAATTACAGTGTTGCATAGATAAAGATATACATTATTTTTATTACTCTTTGAACATACTTCATCACAGTAACTTCTTGCATACAATAAACTTTAAGCATGTTTGATGATCACGAAAAATTTGCTAAAAGTAAGCCTAAAGTTATAGCCTGCCTGAATCGTATCCCAAAATAAAGAATTTATTTGTAATTTATATCTTACAAACTTTGAAAGTCTATAGTTAAGCTATATCTACATAACTAGAATAATGACATTATAGTTTGAGGTATAGTATAGGAAAGAAAAGGACTTAAAATCTAAGCTAATCTGGGGCTGGAGCAATAACACAGCAGGTATGGCGTTTGTCTTGCACACAACCTGGGTTCGATTCCCAGCATCCCATGTGGTCCCCCAGCACTGCCAAGAGTAATTCCTGAGTTCAGAGTCAGGAGTAACCCCTGCGCATCACTGGGTGTGACCCAAAAAAACAAACAAAAAAAAACCCCAAACAAACAAAAACTAAGCTAATCTTACACATTTTTTTAGTTACTTAATTGAATACTGTATTTATATCCAAAGGAAGGAAGAAAGGGAAACAACATGTTGTATTATTCTCAAGAGTTTAAGAAAGGAACTAGTTTAGGGACGGGTAAGTGGGTAATGTTCTTGCCTGAGCGATGCCTGGGAGTGAGGCAGGAGTAAGCCCCAAGCACAGCTGGATGTAACCCCAAAACCAAAAAAAAAAAATAAAAAAGAGAGAGAAAATACTTTTCATTAATAGAAAACAGGAGAGTAATTGGCCTTGATATTCTTTTTTTTTTTTCCCTTTATTTTATTTTATTTTTTTTAAAGTTGTAGATTTACAATTTTTTGTGCTTTGGTTTCAGTTATACAATGATCAGATACCCATCCCTCCACCAGTGCCCATTTTCCACCACCATGGATAATATCCCTCCCACCCCCATCCCCCCATCCCCCCTGTCTCTGTGGCAGGGCAATCCCCTGTGTTCTGGCCTTGATATTCTTTGTGAAACGATCATTAAGCTGAGATTTGGACAAAGTTTTCTTTTTTTGTTTTTGGGACACACCCAGCAATGCTCAGGGCTTACTCTTGGCTCTGTATTAAGAAATCACTCCTGGCAGGCTTGGAGGACCATATGGGATGCCAGGGATTGAACCGGAGTTGGCCATACCCACTGTACTATTGCTCCAACACCATTGGACAAAGTTTTAAGACTTGACTTTGGAGGGCATGCAAAGACTTAATATGATGGTTTAGTAAATTATTCTCAGGTATTCAGGCAATATAGTTCTCTCAGGAAAGAAATTTCCACAATAAGCATATAGCTACCTGGAAATGAATGTAATGTAGGATATTCAGAAGTTAATCATAGTTTTCCTAAAAATGAGCTGTTTGAGGCCTCTGACCTTTATTTATCACTGCTCTCTTTCCTGTGGAACTCATATTGCTCTTAATGTGGCAGTTCAAAGTGTGTAGGCTGAAACCAGTTGATCTGCAAGATGAAACCTCATGCTATATTGACTCCAGATGAAGTACCCAATATTATTTCAGTTGTGTTTTTAATATAAATTGCACATTGGGGTCTAAATTCAAATTGTTATTTTGGAAACATATATATAAACAGATGAGACATCAGTTATCAACTTGATTTCATTATAATTAAGAGCATAAGCGTCATAGTCAGATTTCAGTTTAGATTCGATGCCTTGCATTATTCATCAATACAATGAAGAACTTTAATACTTCTACCTCATGATGGTGGGTTTTTTTTTTTTTTTTTGGGTGAAAAGAGCTTCCAGAAGCAAGACTGAAGCTCAGGAAGTGCCAAGTCGTCTGTTGTTTTAAATTAAGATACTTTCAAATTTTATAACAGCTTAAATAATGCATTGTTAAGTAGATTCATTCACCCAATTTCATTTTATTTCTTTAATGAAATCTTGTTAATTTACTACCATGAATGATTGATTCATCTATATTTTTGACAACCTTTTTCTGTTCAAAAGACAACGCAAATATTTTGAGTCTTGAGTTTTCAGGTGTTTTCGCAGTGAATATCAGTTGATGTTAGCAGTTAAGGAAGTTTAGAAAAGATCAAAGGGGAGTAGAGGAAACGTGTAAGATTGTGGAGGACAGAGAGTGAGCCATGTTTATGAATTAAATTATAACTCAGTCATTCTGGTGGTGTGTGTAAGACTGAGGTAGACAGGAAGCATACCATGAAGTACTTATAAAGTCTTACCTTTGGATTTTATTGAGACCATTGGGTAGAGAGAACTGAATAAGGTATGGACTTAAACAGTATTTTCTAATTGTTGCTTTTGCTAGGGATTGCATTGAAGGGATATAAATCCAAGGCCAGGATACAGCTATCTAGAGTCTAGTAGAAAATGATAGCTGGTGAAGCTGAGAAATGTAAGAATTTCAAAAGCTGTATACGGGTAGAGTCTGGTTGGGTAGAAAGGCTGAGGGAAAAGGATTAGAATACAGTTTAGATGATAGCAGTGTGTTCAGTGCTGAGAATGGATCGTCTGAAGCTGATAGGTAGTTGCAAATAGGGAAGACTAGTTAAGGACACTGCTGAAAACTCCTTGTGTGGCATAATTGTTTTGAAATCTCCTCTAATTGTTTATATAGCTTTTGTTTTGCATCAGAGAAATAATGTGGCCTTAAGTGCCTGGGGAGGAATAAAGGACCACATCACAAGTGGTGCAGAATAAGTTATGCAGGCTTGTGCGCTTGATTAAAATGAAAGATAGCAGGAGTCTTATCTTTGCATACAATAAGTGGGAAGCAGTTATCCTTTTAGTCATTATAACTTAAGAAAT